TGTAAGTTTGTGAAACTTTTGTTTATAAATCATTGTTTGTAATACTTATTTGTAATAACTGTTATTGTAAATTGTATTGTTGTGTGTATATTAAAATGTATTTGTGTTAAAAAATTAAAACGGTGTATATCAATCTTGTTGACAAATATCTTAAACTGACTATATATCGGCTTTTGCTTAACTGCTAAATCTGAAGTACAATTTAACTACTAAATTTAGATTTATCAGTTAACTCAGTTTCAGACCATTTGAAATTGTAATACATAACACGACATAGTCACTGAACAGGTGAGTAAACGAAGGATCTATCTTAGTTTCCATTGCTATTGCACTTAGTTGTGGATAACATTAGCCATTAAATTTGAAAGCATTCAGTTTCAGCACCAGTTCTGCAACATGTTACGTACAGATATAAATATGCTATCAAGAAAATGCTTGAAAGCTAGAAAACCGTCATTATGTGGGATTACTGTGTATAGACTGTATGTTCATTGTGGAGACGTAAGTGAATTTAATAGTTGTTTTTATGTTATGTAAGAGTGCAACATGTGTCGTGTCTTTCACAAAAGTCAGTAGGCTTTTCTACGATGTCGTTAAAATAACTCGAAATTTGTTCAGTAGAACAGTTACTGGTTGAAACTAAGGGTCGGTCAGGACAATTAGGTTTATGATTTAGCAGTCATCTAGAATATGGAATTCGTGGATTCTTTGATCTGTTTTTGATAGAGATATATATAGGGTCTTCTTTACAACATTTGTAGCGACTATTGTCAGTTAGTTGTCTGTTACCTTCTTATATATGCAAACGTCTATGCCCAATAACGACGACGCCTCCTTTATCAGTGGGATTGACCAGGATGTCAGTGCGTATTTAAAGCTTCAAGTTCCTGTTTTGAAAGGTTGCACTTTCTATTTACGTTTCTGAAATTTAGTGTGTTTATTTGAGCCTGCAGTGGTTTATAAAATTGTCAAAAACATCTAGTTCCCCGACTGGTGTGCCTGAATCTGATTTATTTTTGTGTGCAGTTGGATACCACATGTTTGTATCCGTACGACTATCCAATGTATTAAATTGTATCACTCTATGTTTGTCACATTTGTTATGCACATTAATTTGGTCGCTGAAGTTATTTATAACAAATGTTGTCTCACTCTTAGCAAAATTATTTGTGAGATGGCATCTCCTGAAAAATCCTTTACCATTTGTTATTATAGTATATTGATTGGTCAGATGTGAGGTGAGTGGGTACGAAATCAAGTCCCTCAGATAAAACTACTTGTTTGTGATATGTGAATGGAAGATTTTCAGGAACTGTTACCATGTAATGTGGTTGTGAGTTGATGTGGGTTGTTGTACACCAATTTAATTCAGTGAATGGAAGATTTTCAGGAACTGTTACCATGTAATGTGGTTGTGCAGTTGATGTGGGTTGTTGTACACCAATTTAATTCAGTGAATGGAAGATTTTCAGGAACTGTTACCATGTAATGTGGTTGTGCGGTTGATGTGGGTTGTTGTACACCAATTTAATTCAGTTTGACATTTTGTGAGGAACACAATTTTTTCTAATGATGATTATTCGTTATAAGAAACATTTCTGTATAGCTACACCATTACCTCACTTTACTATATTGTTTAATTAGTATCCCATTATTCTATTTTAATTTATGTAGTGCAATTCTTAGAGAAAAATTCCCCATGTAATTGAAATTAAATTGTCTACACTCTCAAAAATCTAAGAAGTGTTTTTCAGTTTTTTTTAAACAAAGACAAATTCAGGTTTTAAGTCTATAATTTAATTCTATAATTTAACTTAACTTACTTACTTAGATATCTATTAGAAATACAGATGCATATTGGTGAAGGTCAATAGCTCTCAACATAAAGCAAGTCTCACGACAAATCAGTGGAAATATATTAGGCTTGAGTGGTGTTTTTATAATCAAGGAAGTGTTACGGCAGCGGAAGTCGCGCGACGCTGGGAGCATGCGCTGGAGTTCAAGAAAGATTGAGGAACCCGTTGAACGTCCTAGCGTTTGTTAGACATGCGCTCTTATAGTATATAAGCCGGCAAATAAAGTGACGGGACATATAATTGCTGACAGACAGAGACGGACAATTGAGTCAAGCGCGATAGTTACCGTAAGTAAAGTGTGTGAATCGTTGTGAATTATAGCGTGCGTTTAAGTTAAAGAGTCTGTGGAAATTAAGTGTATTGCAAAGTTGTATTGAGAAAGAATAAACTAGTTTTATTTAAGAAAGGACTTGTATCGCTGAAGTTTCTGGGAAAGAATTTCTACGAAAATTAACAAACGAACAGAGACGTAACAGAAGCTTTGGTGGATTTTTTAAAAGTCAAATTATATTTTATACTTTTCGATATTTAATTGAATTTTCTATAGCAAGATGAAATTTAGTATAACTTTCGATTTAATGAAGTAAAATTAGATTAATTTACTGCCTCTTGAAAGTGAAATGAAATTACATAATTTGATTATAACAAAGCTGAGAAACTTTGAAATCGATTTTGATATAAACGTTAAAAAGTGAATATAAAGTTTATTGTTTTGTTTCGTTAGATAAAACGTGATGTGCGATCTGTGTTATAAGACAGAAAAAAAATATTCTACAAATATTATTTACTATGTATATATGTGAGTTATTTAGATATAGTTAAAAATAAATTAATTCTTCCCTGTTATATCTCTTTAAACTACTGATATTTATAATATTTTAACTTTATCTACAGATGAAAATGAACTTAAAGAAACAGATGACATATTTATATTAAGGTAAACGCAGAAAGCTTGCAATTTTGCTGTTGATTTTATAACTCTGGTTATTAGAACGAGTGTATTTTAAGATTACGTATCCTTCTTTCACACTAACCTTAACACAATTAACTTAAATAGATATTATTTTCTTGGCACTTGTGTATAATGTAAAAAATAATAAATAAACGACTTTAACGTTGTGTGTGTTGTTTATTTATTATTTTATAATTAGCTTAAGCCTGTTTGGTTTTGTTGTTAGAAGAATGATTTTTACGTTACGTCTGTAAGACGTTTCCACTGATTGATTTAACATGAAACTTAGACTTGAAGAATGTTTAAATTTTCCAAAGTCAGCCCAGCATGATAGTAAAGTGTCTAACAGAAATTTCAAAATTTCAACTTCCAGTAATATACATAAGTCTTATCTTTTCATTTAACGTAACAGACTTATTCGAAGAACAGCTCTTTAGCTTCCAATATGTAACCGCAGCAAAGTTTATGGAAGATTGATATTATAATTTTCAAGCAGGGAATATTTAGGTTGTGTAACTTGTAATTTTATTGGGTTAAAGATAATAAAGTCCAACCTCAGTTACTTTTCTTAAACAATTTAATATAATAAAGTTCACCCAATGTGATTTCTTCAACAATTTAATATACTAAAGTCCGCATTCAACAATTTATTGTAGCAAAATTCGCCCTCAGCAAACTTCAAAAACCTCAGATAATAAAGTTCTACCTCAGCAAGCTTTCTTCAACAGCTGAAGATAATAAAGTTCTACCTCAGCAAGCTTTCTTCAACAGCTGAAGATAATAAAGGTTCTACCTCAGCAATTATTATCTTAAGCTGTTGAAGAAAGCTTTCTAACTCATCAAACGTTTTTCAACAAGTTAATACAGTAAATTTCACCCTCAGCAAGCTTTCTTCAACAGCTTAAGATAATAAAGTTCTAACTCATCAAACGTTTTTCAACAAGTTAATACAGTAAAATTCACCCTCAAGAAACTTTCTTTAACAACTTAATACAGTAAAATTCGTCCTCAGCAAGTTTTCATCAACAACTCCAGATAATAAAGTTCGCCCTCTCTAATATTTCTTCAACAACTCAAAATAGTAATTTCTAACTCAGTCCTTTTTCAACAACTTAAGATAATAAAGTGCAACCTCAGTAAGTTTTCTTCAATAACTTCAGGGGTAGAAAGGATAGAAAAAAGAATCATCTCATATACATTGCATAATTTTTTAAATTTATGGATAAAAGGTCTGGACATGGCTCAGTGTCTAACGTACTAACCTGAATTCAATAGTTCATGATGCCAGGGGGTATACTATAAGAGTGGTGGTCAAATTCTACTAACTGCTTTTCCCCTAGTTTATTAATTGAAAGTTAGAAACAGCTATAAGTATAATCCCTGGTTAAACGAGGTTGATTACTTCCATCAACGATGTTTAAAACAACTGATGAAGATTTCTTTAATTCTTTTTACACTCTACCGAATTACTGCAGATGGACCCTAGCACGATGAATACTTTGTACAAGAAATAGGTGTCGAAACTTTTCAAATCTTAATGATAGTAATCAAACACAAGAATCAAGCAAATTAAATATTTGCGAACAAAACTCTCTCTCTGCCTACACACACACAAAACATCGTTGCGGCCGGAACACAGGTAGCCAGCCCATTGTGTAGCTTTGTGTTTAACAGCAACCAGACGAGAAACATAAAAATTAGCGATGTGGTTTAATAATAAAAAAAAAATTCAAAGTTTACATCAGAAAATATATTATCATCAAAAATACTTAGCTTATGATAAATTTAAGACTGCTAAAAATATGATCTTTGACTTGAGTGCCTTTTATACGGGGGAGACCTGGTTAAGTTATTAACTGAAACTAATTTTGATTTCGTTTTAACTGTAACTAAAAATGTTTCCGAAGAGAACAAAACTCGATTATTTAATCTTTTTATAATAAACACAGTAAACAGTATTAATAAAATAAATCCACGATAATCAAGTTTAGTTTCAAAATAAATTTTCATCCCTCCATACCTCGAATTCTACTCGAATTTAACAATCATGCGCGTGAGAGTGACGACTAAAAAATAAAAATGTAATAAGTAAAGAAACAAATATCCTCTAATGGAATGGTTTTAAATTATTTTAGCCTTTTTATCATTTTATTAAACCAAAGCTTTCAATGTGCCACAATAAAATACTTGCACTGTAAAGTTACTCAGACGAATTAGTGGACGTTTGTAAATATTTTGTTATAAAATATAATGTTAAATTGTATGTAAACTCCATTTTTAAACCACCCTCACGTACCAATGATTTGAAACTACTGCTCTAAGATAGTTAAATTGTTGTTTGTTTATGTTTGTTTGTTTGAAGTTAAGCACAAAGCTACACAATGGGCTATCTGTGCTCTGCCCACCACGGGTATCGAAACCCAGTTTCTAGCGTTGTAAGTCCGCAGACATGCCGCTGTGCCACTGAGGGCTTGTTTGTTTATAAGCGAAAATATACTCCATGCGTTTGAATTCTCTATTTTATAGAAATTCTCATATTTTATATTTTGAATCTTTACACGTGAAAATGAAAGCACTCAGAAATGAGGATACATGTTTCTCACGATCGACTTTATGGTTGTCTCTCTAATGGAGTTCGTTTTTGCTTTCTACCCTATACATTGTTGTATATTTCGGAAGTTACGGATATTAAGGTATGCTTTAGTTGTGGTTTTTTTCCAGTAGGTTACTTTTAGGTTGATGCGAGTGTCTCCCTTAAAGACGACAAAAAAGATGTTTTACTTTTAATAATCGTTTGTTTGTTTTGAAGTTCGAGCAAAGCTACACGAGGGCTATCTGCGCTAGCCGTCCATAATTTAGCAGCGTAAGACCATTCAGTCATTCTTGGGATACTCTTTTACCAACAGATAATGGGATTGACCATCACATTATAACACCCCCATGGCTGAAAGAGCGAGCATGTTTCGTGGGATGGGGGATTCGAACTCGCGACCCTCAGATTGCGAGTTGAGCGCCCTAACCAGCTGGCCATGCCGGGTCTAGTAAAATAATGAACTTTTTAGGATCATTTGAAGCACAAGAATAAGGTTAAGAAAATAAAAGCTGTGTTTATGGACTTCGCTATATGGACTATATGTACCTTAATTGTCATTGCAATTAGTTTTCCAGTTAAAATTGGAAATTTTATTTTAATAACAGGATGACGATTTATACATTGTATTTAACCCTAACAAACAGTCTCGTACAATGATATATTGTATGAACGTCTTTAAATGTCGTTTCAACAAATTATGAAAGTACATATTTAACATATTGGTGAAGTGATAAGTCCTACAAACGTCTTTAAATATTGTTTCAAAAAGTTCCAAAAATTTAAAAAGTAGATTTGACTGTAATACGTTTGATAACATTGTCTATTTTCTATTCAGGATCTGAAAATTCACTTTAGAGACTTCAATTTTTCATATAATTGTATTTTGAACACATATTTTCTAAGTTTTGGAAGTTAAAATTGCTATCTTGCATTAGAATATCATGTTGTAAAAAAGTGTCTAGATACCATTTCAAAAAAGTAAGCTCATATAAAGACTCGAATTTATTAATGGAATGATCCGTTGTGAACACTTTATTATTGCCGTTTTAACAAGTTTTTATTGTGAAGTTGGAACTTATTAATGTACAATGTACCTGATGATGACAAAACCTTGTCGAAACGTTGTACATTTGCTGTTATGTTAAACTTATATTAAAGTTTTTCTTCATTACCCATTCAAGCCGTCTCCAGCCATTTTTAAATGTCGTTGTAAAAAAAATATTATTAATGGTAAAATATATTACACAAACATTTCTAAATATCTTTAGAAATAACTTTACAGCATGTTTCGAAAACTTGTATTATAAGCTTGATGTTATTGATGAAATGAAAAATTATCCAAATTTCTTCAACTGACGTTTGGAGAAGTCCTGGCAGTTTAAACTAGAATATATAATTGAATAATACGTTGTACAAACGTTTCATAATTTCGTTTCAACAACTCTTGAAAGGTCACATTTGTATTGATTGATTTGTATGTTATGCAAACTTACGTAAATATCATTCCAATAACTATTAAACATTGAAACTGGAGAGTGGGATTTCATAAAACAAAATCCTTTTAGTGTCGTTTAAATTAGTCTTAGAATTTAACTTAAAGCCTCAAATTTACTAATACGAAGATGTATTGTATAAACGTTTCTAAATATCTTTTCTATATGTTTTACAAGATTTAATTGTAGGCTAGAAATTATGATTAGGTTGATGTGTTCTATACGCTTCTCCAATTGTTTTTTTCAGCCAATCCTGGTAGCTTAAACTAAATTTCTTTAACTTATTAATAGAATGATAAGCTGTAAATAAATTGTGAAAAACTTCTATTTTAGTAAGTTCTACATTTGACATTATTAATGTCAAATTTTAATTTATTAATGGAATTTTAGGATGCTAAAATTTTCTAATCTCTTTTAAAAGTCTTCGAAGCTCACATTAGAGGTTTGGAATTATAAATGGAATAATATGTTACGTAAAATTCTTTAAATTCCATTAAATTTATGGACTTAAATTTATCAGAAAATGATTATTATTATTTATTGATTTAGACCTTGGAAGTTCAAAAAAATTCTCTAAATGTCCTTATGTCAAGTACTGGAAGTTTATTTTGTCTCTTTAATTAATTTATCGAAATATATGATATACAAACTTTTCTAGATTTGTTTCAATAAGACTTAACATTTTATAATTCATTAATGGAACTAAGTATTGTAAAATTTAGGTAAATGTTGTTTAAGCAAGTCGTGGAAGGATTTAGAGACCTGAGTACATTAATTAATTCTTACAGAGAACATATGTCTAGATTATATTCACATAATCTATTAAAGACTACTGATGGCTCAGCGGTAAGCTTGAGGACTTATAACGCTAAGAGCTGGGATTCGATTCATGTGATGAATACTGCACAGGTAGTCTATAGTGTAGTTTTGCGATAAACAACAAACAAACTAATCCATCAACTTTGAATTGAAAGTTTCAGTTATTAAGAAAATGTTATCTCATATAAACTTTTCTGAAGACTTTGGCTATTGGTTATGAAAACTCATTTGACATCATATTCTGAATTCACTCGTGAAATTTCCAATTTTATACAGTGAGACATAAATGCCGCGTATTGATGTCACACAGTGAAACAAGTCGTACGTGAAAAAATATTTCAGGCAACAAATTACTTTTTTCGTTTTATTAAGACTAAAATGTGCCATTTAGTCCAGTTTAGGTCCATTCATTTTATTTAGTCCTAAGGTGAATAAGCGGTAGGTTTACATACTCACAACGTTAGAATCTGGGGTTCGACTTCCCGTGGTAGAAACAGCACAGATAGCTTAATGTGTAGCTTTGTGCTAAAACTCACAACAACAATACTATATCTGTTGACAAATCACGTCTGCTAAACAATGTACGGAAATTTAATGTTCAGTAACGTTGCAACATAAAGGGTTTAAATTAGAAGAAATCAGCAGAGTGGGTTAAAGGTTATAACTTACATATCAAAGTGAAAAGACCATTAGCACATGTCATGTATATTATACATAAAGCGAATTTATGATTTTTGATTACAGTTTGAAGTCTCAGATAAGGTCATCAATAGGGTAGGAAAGAAAACGAATTATAAACTAATATGTCATCGATATACATATTAGTGAGTATGATGGTTATTTAATTTTTATGACATGTAAAAGACCCAGACTAACAAAATGGCCATTCTTCTTAAGGAAACAAGCGAGATGTCTTAACATTTATTGCCCAATATATCAGGAAATTTCATAATTTGCTTTTATTGGACTCAAAGCATAAGCATATGAAATGTTTTATTGATGTGCGTTTCAATCTGTTTATTGACTAAAAAGACGATAAGATATCAATTTATTTGTGCATCCGTCTATTCTTCAATCATGTCTACAGACTTACAACGCTAGAAACCGGGTTTTGATACCCGTGGTGGGAACGTCACAGATAGCCCATTGTGTAGCTTTGTGCTTAACTTCAAACAAACAAATTAATCAAGAATAAGGTTGTAAAATGTTTTTGTTTTATGATAAAAGATAAAGATCACAGGTTATCACATCTTATTTGGTTTCAGAGGAGCTGCGACTCTAAACGAAATTACTATTATGCAAAGATATATCACTAAATTAATGTGTGAAGTGATCTAGTTTTTTGCACCCAACCATTGAATTCCTAGCTTCTAGACATAAATATAAAACTTTTTTTTTCAAGAATAATGATACCTTTTCACACTGAGTCATCACCATTATTGAACTCAACAATAACCCATTTATAACTAGAATTGTCTTGTGAAATATAGAGCTTCATTTCTTCAACAATAAACACGTTTAATGGTCTAGGATAAATTCACAGTAAACGGTCCATGAAACACGGTCTTGACAAGTAAAATAGCGAATTGAAGAGCATCTGAAGTGAATAACGAACAGAATAGACTAGACGAAGCTGAAAAAACGATGATTAATGAAATGTATGCTTTGTAGCAGCTTTTATCGTAAACTTCTTAAATAGTAAATGCTTTATTCTTTCGATAGAATTAACCAATTTTTCACTAATTAATAATATGCTGAAGTGATTTTTTCTTAGATTTTTACAGTAATTATTGCTTATATTTAGAAAAAATTGGACATAACACTGTAAAACAGAAGATCGTGACGATAATATGAAACGAAAGATATCATTGGGTTTTAGAATTACAATACAGTTGAATTTGAACAACAACATTCTTTTAACCGTTAAATAGGGGCTAAAACTGTAATATGTTATTATACATACATTTGTAGGAAATCTTCTCTTATAGTATTGAATACATAAACGAAGTAAATAAGGTTCACTGGCAAAATGTACTGCCGATAGCTTTACTCGAGAAGCCTAATAAAACTTAATTCATATAGTTCAATCGACCTATTCCAATTACTACACTAATGCCTAAGTTCGCTATTATCAAAGGCCTGGTAGTTAGAAAGCGTGACTTGCAATCTGCGGCTCGCGAGGTTGAAACCTGACGCCGAACATGGTGGTCTTTTTAGTCGTGGGGACGTTATAAAGAGTAGTTCAAAAGTGGGCGGTAGGTGCTGTAGGCCAATTTTCATTCCCGTATTTAACAGCTCAAAACTATGGACGGTGGCAGATAGCATTAGCAACTTTGCTAAAAACAAACAAACAGTCATCACCAAATTTCTCGTCGTCCAGTTTGTTTGACACTGTCCAATAGCGTATAACTTAGTTGGCACAGACCTCTTTTCCCCGTCTGTCTGTTGTTCTAACACAATGGAAGAACATATTGTTGAAACGATACAGTTTGTTAGAAAAAACATTCTCAAACTCGTATGAGCAATATAAACATTTATGTAAGGTTATTACATGCTCTATTTATCCCATAGTGAATAAAGTTCAAATATGGCGATAGCTCCTCCTTCGTTTCTTGGCAAAATTCACCTACATTCTTAGCAATACTTACTTTTTTTTAGGATGACGAATTTTAATGTAGAATGCATTCAATCGTTAATGAAACAATTGGAGAATGGCAGAATATAATGTCTGGATTTTTCAGGATACAGATAAATAAATCAATAAGGATGTCAAATGACTGCCACTAAACATATCCAAGAAGCTTAGTTTAATCATTTTAATATCACGTTTCGACGAATCTAAACTTGATTGTCTAATGGCATTTGCCTGTATTGTCATGTTCAAAGCACTCCCCCTCCTAGAGCTTTCCATAATCCATTTAGTGTAAGAGAATGATTTTACTGATATGACTTCATGTGGAATAGCAGGAATACTCAATCTGTTCTCCAGCTGCTTGAAGTATGCGGGTTGAACGTATATGTTGTGGAAACAACTAACTTGTGTACACATCATTTCTGTCACTTTTGAAAACAGTGATCCTTCTTAATTATGTTTCATGTTACTTACTGAGATAAGAGAACGGCTCTTGCCATTGGACTTTTTGGTCGTGGACTCTTATACGTTATAACATGCCACACTTTGCTTAACACAGCAGGGGGGTTATGACTTGTTGCAGGTTTTTTTTATTGGATGGCCTTGGTACCCCAAGCTGATCCATTTGCTTTGTTTTTATAGTATATAAAATTAGGCATATGAGAGTAACAACATACTGTATAGATACCCAATCTAATATTGTATTTCAGAAAAAATAATTACTCATCGTTATGTAAAGCATAGTGTGTAACGAAGAGGAGAGTAAAACTGGAAAACTTAAAACGGAAGACAGTTACAGTTTATGAGTAATTTACCAGATCTTTACAAGAAAAGTTCTAATAGAATGGTTTTCCTTTCTTGAAAGGTACTGAAGTGTAGCATAGAAAGGAACAAGTATGACTGGCAAGACATTTCTAGAAATAACAAATAGGCTTGAAAATGAAAGCTCAGAGACACTTATCTCGTCAGGGGCAAAATGGCATAGAAGTTGCTACAAAAATACAGTTCATAAAGGAAAAATCTTAAATTGCAAGAAAGAAATATGAAGCATCTCTAGCACGAAGATCCTCCTGCTCCTCAGAGATTAAACATTTGCTATCAAAATATATACCTTTTAACAAAGAACTTTGCTTTTATGTGACGTTAAGGGCACAATATGAAGCCAACTGCGTAAAGTGGCTACAGAAAATGTCGGAAATTGTCTTAACGAAGCTATGAAAAGTGAAAATGATGCCCCATCAAGAGTTAAATTAAGCACTGCAATATATCCTACAGATGTCCATGCTGCAAACATAAAATATCACAAGACAATATTGGGCTGTTAATGTATCAAACGTTCGTGACATTCCTGAAGACAGAAAAAC